AACTGTCGACAATGCCGATAGGAGTCACTTAACGGTATATGTGGCAGTGAATCTTTCCTGATTCAGAATTCAAAAGTGAAGATCAAACCAATCACTAATATTTCTGTTGTTCACAATTGCAGTGTCCTTGTCTCATATCAACTTTCCATAGGGGATAAGTCAAACCGATCACTAGCAAAAGCATATAAGCTAAAAGAAGCCAAAGAATTAGATGACATCCCATAGGACAAGAATGGTTGCTAAGTCGATGGACAAAGTGTATCAAATCAGAAAGAAAAAAAAAAAGATTTTTCAAGTACAACGGCAATCCGCTAGCAACTAGAATATTAAATCTCAAGAGAGAATGAGACAGCATCAAAGTAAATAAACCAAATTTCAGAAGCTTGCAGCAGAAAAATGTTAGAGGCCGCCTGACACTAGTTGTATTCGTAGTTTCAAAACTACATTAACAGTTCTATTATGATAATAAATTTGCCTACTTAGATATAACATATATTACGTACTATACAGCAATACAGCAAACAGAGTTCAGTTGGCATGCATATGACAAGAAATATTGCATGCTAACATCTTAGTACACACATTATAGGGTTTATTAACCTTAAAAGAGTTCGATTCAAATTCGGAAGCTTGAGAAACTAAAACCTTGCAAACAACACCTAAACACTTCCACTTAACCAACCACACATGACAGATTCTCACTAAGGCAACCTAGTTAAACTTAAATTGACATCTCTAGCAACTAAATCATTGTTGAACAAACTACGAAGACAACCTGAATCCAACACGTAAACCCGCAAGAATTAGCGTACAGGATAGGCTGTGATGACTCATGACACTATCACACTCAAATTCAAACTGCTACAAGGCTAATGCCGATCAAAGAACCATAAGACGAGGTAAAATCAAACACCATGAAACACTGAGAATTCAAGCATCCACGAGCATTTCACAACACATGTTGGCTCTGGCTAGCTCGGGCGGAAAAACCCAATTCGCATATCACTAGCCATCAAATCGATTTCAAGTTTTCAGCCTAATAACCAACACCGTAGCCACAGTATCACTCCCAACCAAACAGCATTAACACCACAAAAGCATCGAACCCACCACACCGAATTTCGGGAACTCGAAATCGAAATCAGCGGGACTAAGATAATCAACAAGTACCCAGATGGAGAAACAGCTTACCAATCTAGATGCGGGGGACACCTGAGAAAACTCCGATTGAAGGGAAGGGAAGGGAAAGTCGGGGATGGGAGCTAGGGATTAAGACCGGAGAACGATTCTAGGGCACAACCAGAGGGATAGAGACGACATATACGAGAGAGACGGAGAGAGAGAGAGAGGGACGCGACACGCGAAACGATAAATAAATAGAGAGAGAGAAAGTATATGAGAAGGGTTTGGAGGGAGAGAAGTATATGATACGGATTCGCCGGGGTCATAGGGGAACGGGCTCTGACATGGCACTCCCAACGCGAGAGATATAGAGAGAGACAGAACCGGAAGAGAGGGAACGGAGAGCGACCCGACCACTCGCAACACTCCACGTGTCGCTGTCAGGTAACAAAACCCAACCCAACCCCCTCTCCGATTTTTCCTTCTTCGGCGCTTTTCTCTCCTCTCTTTCTCTCTCCTCCCAAGCACAAAGAACAACGACGGCAGAGAGAGAGAGAGGCGGCCATGGAGTTTCGGCGGGAGATCTCGGGAGGGTGGTTCTTGATCTTGAGGAGCTTCGGTTTGGTTCTTCGTCCTCTTCGTGTTTTTTGGAATTTTCGGGACATTGGGTTCGAAATCTGAAAGCTTAGTTTCTACTTTAATTTCTGACTGCCTCTTAGATTTTGTTGCCTTCTTTTAGTAATTTAGGTGCGTAGCTTTATCTTATAGGCTAAATAAATACCTCTTGTAAAGCTATATAAATCATTTTATTTTTATTTTATTTTTTAATAATTTCATTAGGAGGATAGATCTTCTTGAAGGGCATAAATTTTTTTTAAAAAAAGGATTATAATACATAAAACTTATCTTAATCCAACTTAATATAACAATAATAATTTGGTATAATATTCAAAATAGAAAAAAAAAGTAACGAAAATATGGAATAAATGATAAATGTTTTTTTTAAACTAAATATCTTTAAATAAAACTTAAATTGAACTTAATACTACTACCAATCTAATTAAAGAGCTACATAAAATTTGTTGGTAACATAAAATATCTTCCCTGTTTTTGCGTATTTTATACTATTGTACAATGGTTATACAATAATTATAATTACACAAGCTTGTGGGGGATTTTCTGATGTTTTATTTATTTGTAAATGAGTATAATATTAATTAGAAATATTGAGTTAAAAAGTCTTGAAAATTATAACGTGGATCACTTTATTGTTATATCTTTTCTTTTTAAATTAAAATAAAAATAATTTATATATTTATAGGATAAATTATTGAAAGAAATAAAAAAAATATATAAGTGAAACAAATAAGGAAAGAAATAATTAACACAATAATATTTTATTTTTAATTGAGATTATGTCTTTAATTAATAGCAATCATATTTAATCTTCTTAGTCACTTAGTCATATTAATATTTTGTTTCTATTTCACTTGGTAAGGCCAACTCAAGTTGCGAGGTTTATTATAGTATTCAAGGAAAAGCAGGCTGTCAATTTTAATTATGAAATTATTATGGTACCGGATATCCTGTTATATTTTTATTAGAATATTATTCTCATCATGGACATATTCTCTTGTTGCATAATGCATATACCATAGGCTATCCAAGTTTGTTAAACTACTTGTCTAAAACCAACAATTAGTGCTAGTATAAATTTATTCGGCTTATTCTAAATTAGTTATTTGTAATCATCACATCAAAATTATTCCGTTAACAATACAAATTTGTTTGGTGATATATTCCCCATATTCAAAAAATGATTTTTTTTATTCATATTGCGTCAGTTGGTTTGCGATCTAACTATATCCAATCTAAATTGAAAAACAACCTTTTTTATAATTAAGAGTTTTAGTGACTTTTAATCAACATTTAATCATGTAATTAATATGCCCGGAATTGAATTTAGGACTTTTAAATGATTTTGTCTTGTGTTAGATTTGAGAGGGAGATCATAATTAATAGCGTGATTAAAATTGAAAGGCAGCCTTAACACGATTATTTTTTTTTTCCGAAATATCACTCGAACATGAGATTTGGAAAATAAAATTATAACAAAAAAAAAAAAGAAATTGTCACCAACCATAGGCAAATTAAAAAATCGAGGACATTAATTTAACGCGAGTTAGTTGCGGTACCAACCATCAACGTGATATTGATATATCAAATGTCAATGATATATCGGACTCAACATGTTTCCGACCAAGTCATAGTGGCCACAAGTTGGGGTGAAAATGTAATTTTCATACATTAAAAACAGTCCAAACAAAACGTCTATTTAAGATTCAAGGAGAGAAGAAGAGAAGAGCAATGCGCATCAAAGAACCATATAAACAAAAAACCTCCGATTCCGATATGGCGGCTTCCTCCTCCTCTTCCGCGGTGCCGCAGCACAAGGTGTTCATCAATTTCCGGGGGGAGGAAGTGCGTAACAACTTCGTGGCCCATCTGGACAGGATGCTGAAAAGTGCAGGGATCAATGCCTTTATAGATCGGGACGATGGGGTGGGAAAAGACATCAACGATCTCTTCAAGAGGATCGAGGAGTCGAGGGTCGCTCTCGTCGTCTTCTCGAGCAGGTACACGACGTCTAAATGGTGCCTGGACGAGCTCGTCAAGATCAAGGAGCGTGTGGACCAAGGCGGGCTCGTGGTCATCCCCATCTTCTACAAGGTTGACTAACAATTGTGGAATATTGCGTTGCCTTTCATTAAACCCAATAACGTATCTATAGACAAGTAAGGATATAAATCTTCTTAGGAAACTGTCAAAGCAATTCATATATATCTGTAAAATACTGATAGGATCATTGATATATATATATATATATATATATATCACTAATAAAGGTGGAGCCTTACACGGTGAAAAAACTAGAGGGAGAGTTCGGCGAACAGTTCTGGAAGCTGGTGAGAAACCACTCCGACAAGGTTCAGAGATGGAAGGAAGCTTTGGAGTCCATTTCAGGGAAGAGGGGTTTGACTTACGACGGCAGAAGGTACTCTGCCATGTTTTCTTTGTTGTCGGAATCTACTGTGCGAGTGGGTTTTCGATTCATTATCTCTCTCTCTCTGTCATTCCTTTTGGTAGCAACGAGCTTGAATTCATAGATTCAATCACCAAGAGTGTCGAGGAAATGCTACACGGCATACGAGACGAAGCGAGTGTCGTTATCTGCGCTAGGGACCTCTCCATCGAATGGTCCCACGACGAGAAGCGCTGGAAATGGCTCCCTGTCGAGGAGACTCGTCCAAAGTAACGAATGGCCTTATTGATTTTCTTCACTATTAATTACATCTAGAAAGAAAAAAATGACGTTCTGTCTTCTTCTTCTTTTTTCACAGCGACGCAGCCATTGAAGTGGCGAAACTGATAGAAGTGTATTGGCTGGACATTAGGGGGAAAATCAGGATGAAGGATCTAAAGCGGGGGACAACGTACGAGGTGGTGTTCGTGGTGAAGATACAAGATCCGGCCGAGGGATGGCACGTGCCGGTTAACGTGAAACTCGCTCTTCCCACCGGAGAGATCTCTGAACGAGAAGTGAACCTGAGAACGCAGACGAGAGGCCAGTGGCTCGAAATCCCCGCCGGAGCGTTCGTGACGTCGCCGGATAACGATGGCGACGGATATGTCGAGTTCTCGATGTATGAGCACAACACGACGGATACTCCCAAGAAAGGCCTCTTCGTCAAAGGTGTTGCCATTCGCACCAAATCACACTGACGTCATGCGCACATGCAACCGTTCTACGTGCATCTCTCTCTCTCTCTATATATATATATATATATACATATATATGTGTGTGTGTGCGCGGCGCGTGTGCATATAGGTTCAAAGATCGTTTGTGTTTTAATAATTTTTTATAACGAATGAAATGAAGCTTGTAATAACAATATATGTATGATTGATGCTTACATTATTGATATTAGTTTCTCTGGTGCATTTCTTTATTTTGCAATTTACTACCGGTGTAAATTATTTGATCGTTGACCTGAGCTGTCTCAAACCTTGGATATGCTTTATATATGTTAAAAAAATATTAGCCCTTAAAAAACTATGTATAAATTAAAATATTATACGTATATTTGTTATTTATCTAAAACTATATCCTTAATTATCAAAGAAAATTTATTTTCTTTTTTGGAGTATGCTACGGGTGTTATTTTCTTTTATTTTTAATGGTAACAAATTAAGTTTAGTTATGATTTTTTTTATTTTATAATATTTGGCACAAGTAGGATTTGAACCATGGTGGTGAATAAGGTGCTTCTCTTGCCACCAACCTACACCACATTGGATTAGTTATGAAATTATTTTCTTGTCGCACATACCATCTGTTTATTGGTAATGTCCAGTGGAGTGGAGTTCGAACCATGGATGTAGAAAACATTTTATGTTCTCACGCCACCGCACCATTACTTATAGACTTTTCGGCGTATCTCGGTGACGCCACGTGTTATCTGCGATATAAAAAATATGTAAAATGCTCTTTTAAAAAAAACTGTTTGGCTAAAAATAACAAATAATATTGGTACTGATTAGTGGGCTGATTTTCAATTAGTTATGTGTAATTATTAATCAAAAGAGTGTAGCTTTTTAACCGTATAAGTTGTGCTTATGAAGGGATATCGTTGCATGTGTATACATTCTGATCGAACTCGTGCAAAACCAATGAACGCACGGACAAAGGAAGGCTCGTCATCAATTCATCCCCATGGGATATGTGTTATTACGGAGTGTGAATTAGTCCCATCAACAACCATAGACTAATTCAAAATTGACCACATTTAATTTAAATTTAAACGCCGGTTAGTTGCAATACCATTATTCATTCATTCACCCGCAAATTATTTAAACACCGTCAACCTGGTCTTGATATCGACTCGGAGCCGACTCTTCTTGACTCGGTCATGTATTCCGACAAGCCATCGCACGTAGGGACATGAGCTGAGAGACCGAGATATCATTAAATACATTTGTACCTTAAAGACAGACAAGCCAACCAAACTCCCCATATGGTCTAGTTGAAGCTGATGCATATCAAAGAACCACACAAACAAAACCTCCGATTCCAATGGCGGCTTCCTCCTCCTCTCTCGCAGTGCCGCAGCACAAGGTGTTCATCAATTTCAGGGGAGAGGAAGTGCGTAACAACTTCGTCGCACATCTGGACAGGACGCTGAAAAGTGCAGGGATCAATGCCTTTGTAGACGGAGACGACGGGGTCGGAAAAGACATCGACGATCTCTTCGAGAGGATCGAGGAGTCGAGGGTCGCTCTCGCCGTCTTCTCGAGCAAGTACACGACGTCTAAATGGTGTCTGAACGAGCTCGTGAAGATCAAGGAGCGTGTGGACGAAGGTCAACTCGTGGTCATTCCCATCTTCTACAAGGTCGAGCCTTACACGGTGAAGGGACTGAAGGGAGAGTTCGGCGAACAGTTCTGGGAGCTGGTGAGAAGCAATCTCGACAAGGCCCGGACATGGAAAGAGGCTTTGGAGTTTGTTCCGAGGAAGAGGGGCTTGTCATACGACGGCAAAAGGTACTATTACATGCCATTTTTGTTAAACGATTTTATGGTTGAGAGGTCTGAAAAGTGCGTTTCGACTTTAGGGTTTTGGGCGATCCATTGGGGTTTCCGTTGAAACAAGGAAACAAGATTTTGAATGGAAAGTTATAAATTCAGATGAGAAATTGAAATCTTCTATAAGTACTCTCACTCGTTTTGGCAGCAACGAGCGTGAGTTCATAGATTTGATGACCAAGAACGTCGAGCAAGTGCTACTCAAGATACCAGAGGAAGCAGAAGCGGCACGTGTGATCGGTCCTCAAGAAACAGCAAACCCAGAAATAAGCCTCGTGATGATGGAGCAGATCCATTCACGATGCATTTTTAGGAATCACAACGATCTGGACCAAGCTGTGAAGGATAAGATCGCCTCTTGTGCCCAAAGGGAGAGCCAGGTAAACCTCAGATATATTCTCGATAGCTTCGGTGATCGATCCATCCCGCTAGGATCTTGCAAAGAGAGAATGGCCAAGTTCAACCATTACATTACGTACATACTTTATATATTTATATATACTGTTGAAAATTCTATCTTTCCTCTCTCTCCAAATCAAATATACCAAAGTTTGTTTCTCAAAGTGTTCGTCTTATATATGGAGAATCTCTATGATCTCTCCTCTTGATGCATTATATTACTTTTGCAGGATTTTGTCTCAGATTCCTTGCTCTGCACCCGCTTTCCCGGACGCGAAGTACCTTCGTGGTTCCATCAGAAAGCGATCGGATCGGGGTTAAAGCCAAAGCTTCCTCCACGTTGGTGTGACAAAAGGCTTTGTGGGATAGCTCTCTGTGCTGTTGTCTCGTTTCAGGGCACCCAAGATCAAACTGGCCGTGTAATAGTGAAATGCACTTGTAAGTTCAAAACTGAAGATGGGTCTTGTACCAACTTTAGCTGGAATGTCGGAGATTGGACAGAGCCAGGAAAGGTCGAGCAGCCGGACCATGTCTTCGTAGGTTACACCAGCCGCTCTCATATCACGAAACGTCTCGAAGAGAAGGGCTCGAGCGGATCAATTCCTACGGAGGCTCTCCTCGAATTCATAGTGACAGATGATGATACAACTGAAGTAGTTAGAAAATATGGCGAGGTGGTGAAGTGTGGCTTCAGCTTGGTTTACGTGGAATCAGAGAATGTCTCATGTGAACGAAACAGTTACGAGGGTACAAATGATAGATCAGACAGCAGTTCACAGAGAATGTCTCCGGTGGGAAGAGCGAGTTTCATGATCTACGCCAGGGATCTCTCCATTGAATGGTCTGAAAGCAAGAAGCGCTGGACATGGATTTCTGTCAAGGAGAATCCAAAGTAAGAATCCTAACCTCGATCGCGATTATTGTTATTATCATCAATAAAACTGGGCGTAACCAATGAAATGTTTTTGTTCACAGCGACGAAGCCATTGAAGTGGCGAAACTGATAGAAGTGTACTGGCTGGACATAACGGGGAGGTTCATGATGAGCGATCTAACCAAGGGGACAACGTACGAGGTGGTGTTCGTGGTGAAGATACAAGATCCGGCCGAGGGATGGCACGTGCCGGTTAACGTGAAACTCACTCTTCCCACTGGAGAGAACCCTGAACGGAAAGTGAACCTGAGAACGCAGACGAGAGGCCGGTGGCTCGAAATCCCCGCCGGAGAGTTCGTGACGCCGGAGAACGACGACGATGGATATGTCGAGTTCTCGATGTATGAGCATAACACGACGGATACTCCCAAGAAAGGCCTCTTCGTCAAAGGTGTTGCCATTCGCACCAAAATCCAATGACGTTGTTTTCACCATATTAGAAATTACGTAAACATGAACTTGATGGGATTCCGATCGAGAATCCGCGTTAAATTAAAAAAATGATTTTTTGAAATTATACCCATTATATATATATATATATATATATATTATGGCAGAATATATAATAAGATTGACAAATTGTTCGAAGATGATGTGAGGTGAAAAAGCTGATCACGTAAGTGGGATAATGTGTTGCATTCTGGTTGGCCGGGACTGCGAAAAGAGGGGACATGACGACTTCCATGATCCATGGCTCGTATAAATTGTATCGCGACGCCCCTCTCACTATATATTTTTGAGAATTGTTTTTTTGAAAATATAAATAAAAAACCCATCGTCAAAATTTGTTTACCTTTCATTTGTTTAAATGTTTTGTTAAATGAAAATTGATTTCTTGGTTAGACATTCGACCGTAGAATAGTGACTGATTTTTTGTCATTTTTTTTCCTTTTTGTGTTTGTGGTTGGTAATAAACTGTATTTATAAATGTTATATTGCAAAAAAAAAAAAGGTTTTACTTGTAGGAGTTTTCTCTGAGCAATTAAAAATTGGAGTTTTTTTTTTGTAAAGTGTGGCAAAAATGGTTACTTTATAAATTATACATTTTTTGTGAATAGTATTTTTAAAAATCGTAAAATTACTTTTAAAGCCAAAACAGTTATTATACAAAACCTTTTATTTATTAAAATCAGTTATTGTTTTCCAACAATAACATAAATATTTTGAATAGACAGAGATAAAATTCTCTGCCTTTATGAGGTAAATAGATTATGATTTGTATAAATAAAAGATGGCATTTTGGACGAATTGGGAAAAAAAAGTTCATAGAGAGGAGAAATCCCAATAAAAACCTATACTTTTTACTCGTCACAATTTAAACCTCATCGACAAAAATTCTATACTTTTACAAATTGTCAAATAAAACTCTCTATTTTTAAAATTTGGCAAAAAAAACTCTGAATGAAAAAAATATTAATATTTCGGATGACATGACATCCTAATCACATGCCACATCATCAATCCTATGACACATAATCAAATGGCAAAATATCCAAAATACTCTCCTTATACTAAAACTACTTCTGCACCTAACCTTCTCCAGTTGTGACCTTGTCACCAAAATAATTGTATGGTCACATGATGGTCACATTGGTCACACCGTTAGATTTTTTATGATTTTACCAAATGATTAGTGTGATATGTAAGGTGTGACCATGATGATTTAATGTAATCACCATAAATTTAACGTTATGGCCAATGTGACCATCATGTGACCATATATGAATTCTGGTCATAAGGTTACAACCGGAGAAGGGTGTAGAAATAATTTTAGTAAAAGGAGAGTATTTTGGATAATGCCCCTAATCAAATCTAATATTTAATAATATTAATTAATAAAAAATAATAAAAATAAAATTTTAAAAATTATACACATTCATATACACGTACATATAATTATACATATATATATATGTATTATATATGTATATATATATGTATATATATGGTTGTATATATATGTATATCATTTCATTATATATGTACGTGTATATGAATGTGTATATTTTTTAAAATTTTATTTTTATTAATTTTATTTTTTATTAATTAATATTATTAAATATTAGATTTGATGATATATATGGTTGATATGTGGCCTGTGACTAAAATGTCATGTCATCAGAATTATTATTATTTTTTTGTTTATGGTTTTTTTTTTGCTAATTTTTAAAAATATAAAATTTTATTTATCAATAAAAGTACGAGATTTTTTCGATAAAAAAAAGTATACGATCAAAAAAAAGTATACGGTTTATTGTGATGAGAAAAAAGTATATGGTATCTGAACTGGAAGTGAGGGTGTTCCAGAGGTTCGAATCCAGACATGCGGGAAGGGAGAGACATAGCCAAAGGCTGTGTGTTCAAAGGCTGCTCCCGGGCTCAAAGAGATGTAGGTTGGACCAAAGAATAGGTGAACTTCCTGGTTTGACAAAAAAAAAAAGTATAAAGTTTTTATTGAGATTTAACATAATCGAGATAAGAAATAATAATCCATATTGCTGTGCTATTGTTATTAATAGAAATAAAAAAAAATAAAAAAAAAAATATTGGCAGACAATCTCCCTTGAAATTTCTCTCTCCTTCCATTTGTGTCGGAAAAGTCTCCGTCTTTGCTCTAAATGCTGTGCTCCTCGTTTCTCCATTGTCGTGCTCCTCCTCCTCGTCCTCCTGCTTCTGCTTTCTTACATATTTTTCCGTTGAATTTGTTTCTCCGTCAGCTGTGTTTTATGTCATGAGAAAGATCTCGCCGACTCAACATTACTGATTGGTGAGTTGTGTCTCGTGGAATATGCTCCTTTGATTCCTCGTAAAATCCTGCAATCTATCTCTGGATTTCGACATCTCCATAGTTCTAGTTTGGTATATCACTTGGGTTACGTTTGATTATTCGATTTCTTGCACTTTTCCTGTCTATTTCCGGGTTTCTGATGTGTTTTTTCCCCGTCTAGCACAGTATTTCGGATAAAGCTCTGTTTTTTTGGACACCCTTTTGGGCTCTGGGGATTATCTGCAAATTTTCTAGAATTTCAATTGAAATGGGCCCTGATTTTTACTATAAATTATCTTTTTGCTCTCTCTTGGTTTCAAGTTTTGGCGGTGTTATTGCCCTTGGAGAGTGACATTGTGAGTTCTATCCCCAGAAATTTGGTGGCAACGTCAGGTTTGAATTTCAGTAATTGGAACAGGAGGCTCAATCACAAGTCGTGAATATAGGAAGTTATTATTATTGTGAATAGCTTTAGCATGAGAATTACCTGTTGATATTTGGTTTGGGAGGATTGATAAGCTGTAGTGTTGTTTCTTTTCTTTTTTTCATTGTATCTAGTTTACATATTCGTTTAGTATATTGGCAGGATGATTCATTCTCTTCTCTCAAGGAAAAACTAAGGAATTATTGAATATGTTTGTATTTTAGTGTTTTGTGGCAGAGGCGAAAAAATGGATGCGAACAGATTGGACTGTAGATTCCATCATTCTAGATCATCACAGTCCGAGGAGTCAGTGCTGGATTTGGAGAAAAACGGCTACAGTCATTCTAATGTTCCTTCCTCATGTCCATCACCACTTCAACTATTTCCTTCTGGTGGTCAACATTCTGAGAGCAACGCTGCCTACTTCTCTTGGCCTACTTCAAGTCGTTTGACTGATTCAGCAGAGGACAGGGCAAACTACTTTGCAAACCTTCAGAAGGGTGTTCTGGCTGAAACTTTTACGGGGTTGCCTTCAGGACAGCAAGCTACTACCTTGCTTGAGTTGATGACCATAAGGGCGTTTCATAGTAAGAATTTACGGAGATGTAGCCTTGGTACAGCTATTGGGTTTCGTATTCGACGTGGTGTTTTGACAAACAGACCGGCTATCCTTGTCTTTGTTGCACGGAAGGTGCATAAACAATGGCTCAATCATGTACAGTGTCTACCTACAGCCTTGGAGGTGAGATATCCTCGTGATTCTGTGTTCATCTTACCTATGATTCCCCTAACTGTTTAACCGACGTTTTTTCTCTAACCCATGGATCTTTATGTTCTGCCTAGATGTGGTTGGAGTTTAGAAATCTTTTTAACTAAAATACAAAGTTTTTGCCAGGGTCCTGGTGGAGTGTGGTGTGATGTAGATGTTGTTGAGTTCCAATACTATGGTGCCCCTGCACAAACACCTAAAGAGCAGGTGTATACTGAGCTTGTGGATGGTCTGAGAGGTAATGGTCCATGCATTGGCTCTGGCTCACAGGTACCTTGTTTCTATTTTGTACTGAGCTTTGTCTATATCTTGCATTAGCTGTATGTGATGGAGGGGCTATGCATAAACACATCTGTATTAGCTGTAAGATACTTTGAGTTTTGCAAATACCAAACCTAATGGACGTTATTTTTCTCAAATATGATGGCGTTGTATTATATGTAGATGACGTATAGCCATGTAACGTCTTGAACATGTTAGAAGCCCAACCAAACTATTTGATATAATGATAAGAAGGTATTCACTTGAAAGAGCATTCTTTCTTATTCATGGGCACGCCGCTCTTTTCTTCACTTTCATGGTGACTCATATTTACGATGGTGGGATGTTAAATACTGCACCCTTTCTTTTCTCCTCAACACTATACTGCAGCATCTTAGATAACCGTTAGTTTGAACTTCAAGTTACTTAACCGAAATTTTCATTTAAGCTTATGCATGTTAGTCTTTTGGAATGGAACTGGCCCTGTCGTGAGTTTTCTTATTGTTGGGTTTGTAGTTCACCATTTCTTCGCTTTTAGTACAGAAAATCAATTAGCCACTCATCTCTTGTAGGTGGCTAGCCAAGAAACATATGGAACCTTGGGTGCTATCGTGAAGAGTAGAACGGGCAGCCGACAGGTTGGTTTCCTCACAAACCGACATGTTGCAGTTGACCTGGATTACCCGAGCCAGAAGATGTTTCATCCTTTGCCACCTAGTCTTGGACCTGGTGTATATTTAGGTGCAGTGGAAAGAGCAACATCATTCATCACAGATGACGTTTGGTATGGAATTTTCGCTGGAACCAATCCAGGTAGTCCGATTTCATTAATGTAATAGCTTTGACGATTTCATTTAGATTTCATTATCACATTTCCAGGGTTTATATATTTTTTTTCCTCAACATAGCATAGACATTTTTGCTTCAGTTCATATATAGTCATGAAAGGGATATTTGATCAAATCCATGTAAACAATTAAAATCTGGACAAAACCAATCCAATTCACTGCCTACAGAGATCCAATTACCTATGTGAAATTACCAATTTGTGAGAGAACCTCTCAAACGTTATTGTATGTTTGACAAGTTAAAATAGCTTAAGTTTTAGCCGTGAAACGTCTGCTTCTGAAGAACAAAAATGGTGGCTGTACTTGTAGACCACAGGTTTACCTTTTGTTTCTATACACTGCAGAAACATTTGTTCGAGCTGATGGAGCATTCATTCCTTTTACTGAGGACTTCAACATGAACAATGTAACAACTACCGTGAAAGGCGTTGGTGAGATCGGGGATATCCATGTCATAGACCTACAGTCCTCAATTAGCAGTCTCATTGGAAGAAAAGTCATCAAAGTTGGAAGAAGCTCTGGTTTGACCACCGGGACCATTATGGCTTATGCATTGGAATATAATGACGAGAAAGGGATTTGTTTCCTCACTGATTTTCTTGTCATTGGCGAAAACCAGCAGACTTTTGATCTTGAGGGTGATAGTGGAAGCCTCATCCTGTTGGCAGGCGAGAACAATGAGAAACCCCAACCCGTTGGAATTATCTGGGGAGGAACCGCGAATCGGGGAAGGTTGAAGCTAAAGGTGGGGCAACAGCCAGAGAATTGGACCAGTGGAGTTGATCTTGGCAGGCTTCTCGACCTTCTTGAACTTGATCTCATTACCACCAATGAGGGGCTTCAAGGTTTGTGTTATGTCAGGTTACATTCCAGTACTTCTGAGCATCCATGTTGTCTTTTCCCTTAAATTTCAGAATTTCAATAAGTTAGTTGATTTGTGCAGCTGCAGTGCAAGAACAAAGAAACGTTATGGGTACTGCTATTGATTCTACTGTTGTTGAGTCATCTCCTCATGAATGCAAGACATCAAGAGGTAAAAGAGACGAGAACTTTGAGCCCATTAATCTGAATGTCCAGCAAGTTTTGGTCGAAGAGGATTCATCCCGTAGTCCTAAGTTTCAAATAGAAGACAGAGCTGATCCGGCATCTATTGTTGAAGAACATCAATTCATTCCGAGCTCAAGCAACAACAACAGATCAACCCTTCATCAGAAGGCCAATGGGCAAGGGAATCTTGAATCAGAAAACCTGTCAGTACTGAAGGCCAATGGTTCGGATGATGAGATTCAGGTTTCCTTGCAGTTAGGTGAGCCAGATACAAAGAAAAGAAAGGTCATCGATTCATTGTGTGATACCCGAGATGAATGAAGTTGAGGTGGAAATAGCGAATAAAAGACTGCATACTCCGAGCTAAAACCATATCTTGGAGAAGGTTTCATGAACATCTCTATGCTCTGCTCATCAAGTTTTCATAATTTACAAGGTACTGGGTGAGTTCCAAGAGCTCTGGGGAATTCAACTTTACATAATTACTTCTTGTATCCCCTGCATTCTTCTTCCAAGGATTTCTCACAGGAAAGATATACGAAGTAGCTTATTCTGTAATGGCTAATGGAAAGAGAGAACATTGTCAAAAGGCCATAGCTATGCACAAATATGTACTGATGGATTTTGAAGACTATTTTCTTTGTACCTCAAGCACCCATTGAACCATAAGCAGTTGCAGTGCAGCTCTTGAAATTTTGAGCTTCTTTGCTGTTCTTGAAACTCAAGTATAGATTCAAGAATCTAACAACGTTCAGGCTGAAAATATCATTTCCATATCCATATATTGAGTAAACATATGATATGAGCTTCAGTTGGTATGAACTATATTGTAGGAGCTCAATGCCTAAGATGACTATTACTTCTTATGTTAGTTATGCTAATCCTCTTGCCCATTTGGTGTGTCTGGCCAACCTTTGTCGGCCTGAAACTTAACAAACTCTGCCAGAAGCTTGATTTCCTCATCCTGCAACCGTGGTCCAAACGTACACTGCCCTCTCGGTGTGCATTTTTCCCCAAATCCCTACAAAAATCATGGCACGTATGTCTCGTCTGAGTCGTCTCATCATTCCAATTTACTAGGGAAGTAACATCTACAAGTGGGAACTCTTAAATTGTGATCTGACCGGCATTCTTCCCTTTCCATTGTAGGTAATACGGAATATCTCTTCCTCGGTGTCAACTCCATTTCTGTAATGTAAACTAACTGAATCATCGGTAGATAAATATCGAGAGACGAAGTTTATGTAACCTTAGTTATACCTTTGAAGGTCACTAGTGAAAAGTGTTGCGCCCTGGAAAAAGATATAACATACCATTCATTATTACAAAACCCCAGCAGGAAATGATCATAGGACAAATACAGAGTGGTTCTTGCCCTATAAGTGTTCACTCACTGGTTGGATTATGTTTCCACCTGCATCATGACAACCAATACAAGCTTTCTGAAACAAGGTGGCTCCTCTTTGTATGTCCAGGCTTTGTCCTAGCGACTCTGCAGCCAAGAATTAACACATTGGCCACGAAAATTCCCATGGCTGCACGTTATATCCATTGAACAGAATTTGATTCCAAGTGCATACAAGATTGTGATTTTCTGGTTCCACAGTCCAGAATGAGGCCAACTAGGGCTAATGAACAGAGATCAAGTGTTCAGGTGCTCGTATTACGCATCAATAGTTTCAAAGTCAGAAACTTTTTTCAAAGAATCTTACACGACCATGTTCAGATGAAGCAAAGTGAATACTTTTATACTTGTAAGTTGTGTCGGAGAAATTAGAGGATACCTGCAGGTTGGGAGATCACTGATACGGCAAACAGAACCGCCGTGAGATGCGGAGCTAACTTCTTTATCGGAAATTTCGAATCTTTGTGCTTTATGGCAACTGGGTTTTGCAATTCTCCTCCCCTTGCATTGCCCTTCAAATATTACCTAATCTTTCATGTCATTTCACGATTCATCAAAACAAATATTTACGGGAGAGAGAGAGAGAGAGGACCTTTTTGGAGTTAGAAAATATGTTGCACAAGCCAGGCGAAGCAGAAGAGAGAAGCCTCATCTCTTGGAACCTGAGAGTGTTGATGAATGTGCGGATTGGCGTCTAGATTTTGGGGAGACGATTTTTACCGGTTAATGGATTGATTTGGTTAACCGGGTTCAGATGTTTTTTTTTTTTTATTTCTTGGGACAAGAAAACAATGTTCAATTTAATAAAATAAAAACGGAATAAACAAAAATCTAAGAAAAGAAAAAGAAAAAAAACTCGTCGCATTCTTTCTTCTGGGTAAAATGGTAAATGTCATTTTCTGTTTTGAATTTACCAAAACATGAAGAAAAATAAGACTATAAAATACAAAATATAATAACGATAACATTATTATATGCTAATAAAATTAGGCGTGGGATTTTAGGAAGTAATATATACAAGTGTAAATAAATACACTATAATTAAAATATTTTATAAGCAGAAGAGGATAGCACGACTTATATTTTTAAAATGCTGAATGTAATATACGCCATCTGTTTATTTTTTTTTTTGTGGTAGAAGACATCTCTTTTGCTACTTATAATATCTCACACTTTTTGTGGGCCTGTATATTTATTTTTATTATAAAAATATTGACAAATCTCATATAAAATATCTCAACTTTACAAAATATATGCCAAACAAATAACTAAATTTTTATTTTTATCTAATTGCTACTTCATCTATTAAAATATTTCAAGTTAATACCTAAAATATTGAAATATTCTAAATAAATACATTATAAATCGATAACAATTATCAGTTTATTATAATTAAATAGAAAAAATATCTAAAAAATTTTACATTTGTAATTTAGTGTAGTTTTAATTCGCGAACTTGTAAATGCGCCTATTTATTTCCGAATTTGTATTTTTAAATATAACAATTCTTAAATTTACTTAATAGTTCTATAATCGTCCATACCACTTATAATACCCCGAAACCCGAATTGAATATTTAATTATTTAAATATAAATAATTAAATAGAGACGTCATGAAATCACCAAAAATAAATAGTACAATGTCGAAGAGAATCACGAGGATCGTCACGTGCGGGAAGGATCGAGAAGGAATGAAGAAAACAAAATAATAATAATAATAATAATAAACAGGGTTGGTCCGCCGAACCAGCAATGGTCAGCGGCGGACCAACCATTCAGCCGGACTCGGACCGGATTGCGCGGACTGGAAAGAAAATTTGAAAAAAAAAATAATATAAGATTCTGGTCCGGAACCCGACAGTTCGCCACCTGCTCTGTTGCGAGTTTCGGGACGCGAGTTCTCGTCGGAATTTGAAGCCACACGTGTCCAGCCACCACCCGACGCATGGAGGACGTTGCAGACTCGCCCCTGGGCCTCGATTTCAGCCCGTGAGACCTCTCTCCCGCGACATAAACCCCTCCCAACCTCCAGACTTAGCCAGCAAGGATGTGTTCTTGGTATACGGTGTGCCGGAAGACGAGCTCGCTAAAAAGGATTACACTGATGCTAGTTTCTAGTCAGACCCGGATGACTACAGATCCCAGTCTGGCTATGTTTTCGAACCTAGTTTTCGCCAGGACGTTGCGTGGCGTAGTGAGATGTGCGACATCAAAATACGAGTGATCGTTGCGTGACTAATTATGGGTAGAATTGCATGGCGTAGAACGGTAACTTGGTAGAAACCGGATACCGTGATACGTAAGATTGTACTAAGGGAATATTTCACGTTAACCTCCAGACTTAGCCAGCAAGGATGTGTTCTTGGTATACGGTGTGCCGGAAGACGAGCTCGCTAAAAAGGATTACACTGATGCTAGTTTCTAGTCAGACCCGGATGACTACAGATCCCAGTCTGGCTATGTTTTCGAACCTAGTTTTCGCCAGGACGTTGCGTGGCGTAGTGAGATGTGCGACATCAAAATACGAGTGATCGTTGCGTGACTAATTATGGGTAGAATTGCATGGCGTAGAACGGTAACTTGGTAGAAACCGGATACCGTGATACGTAAGATTGTACTAAGGGAATATTTCTCGTTGTGTACCATGTATGTAGCTTGCTCATGCGTACGAGTTAAGCGTGATTGTGTTTGTGGATGGTTGTGGACTCAACCATCAACGTCATGGACTTGACGGGCGTTTGAGATGCATTTTAGTCGTGTGCGACACGACGGCCACCGTCATGGACTTGACGGGCGTGGACTCGCCCCTAGTCATGGATTTGACTAGGGTATATGACTGGACCGTATGGTGGACTCCATACGGGTATGTTTGTATTCCGTTGTGTCATGGATTTGACATCGGTAGTCACAAAGTGACATGCACAGGAGACGCACAAGATCGCATGCGATGCGATGACCAACGTCACGCGAGTGACAGGCATGGAGGCGCCCCTAGTCATAGACTTGACTAGACTTGACTAGGGTATATAGCTAGGCCCTATGGTGGACTCCATATGGGCGTGATTGTGCTTGTCTTATATGTGTTTGCTATGTTTTCGATTATTGCATGTGTTCTGTGGAAATGTCGATTGTACCGTTCTCATTGAGAACGAGATTCCCGGGTTTAACCCGGGCTACTCACTAAGCAGTTATGCTTAGTCCTCGTGGTTTACATTTTTCAGATCACGAGGATTACGCCTAGCGCCTCAGCAGACGACGACCCGAGAGAAGCAACATCATGTACGGGATTTGTATTCTGAACCAAGGGATTTGTAGTTTCAACTTTCGTACGGTTGTATTATGACTATTCGGACGTGTGACATTTTGCGATACTAATCGTCCATGTGGCACAGCCCGTATACTGTACATGGGTTACGAGTGTCACAACTTTTGGTATCAGAGTCACGTTCTTTCCTTGGGAAGGAATCGTGCTCATTACCTAATGATTTTTCTATGAAAAATGTTTTCAAACCATGTCCGAAGAAAATCCTCACCTATCGGGGTCCGTAAATCGATGATGCAATATCGGTCGTCAGTGGTTAAAACTGTCTTAAATATCGTGCAGTGAAATGATGCCACGACGTGCTAGGCTTGCAGCGAGGGCTGACGACGTTCCCGAACAGACTCCACCGCCTAACCCAGGAGACGAAGGGTGGAGGGCTGAGTTTCGTCAATTCTAGGAGACCGTGTGGCAGCACCTGGCTGCTCATGCCCCACCCCACCCCCGGCGAGAGACCCGGAGCCAAGGGAGAAGGGCCTACACCCGTCGTCGATACCTGCTACGATGGTGGGATACCTCCCTATCATCAAGTAGCTGCGGGCGATGCATACCCCGCGATTCGAGGGATCGGTGAGACCGGAAGAGCTGTGGAGGAGTGGCTCACCCAGATCTCTCAGGACTTGGAGTACCTGCAGTGCCCGTACCAGTACCAGGCTTTGATTGCGAGCCATCATCTGTCGGATCAGGTCCGACATTAGTGGGCGAAGCTGGTGCAGGAGGCACCAGCAAGACATCGCTTCACATGGGAGGAGTTCCAACGGGAGTTTGAGGCGAAGTACTTCCGGCAACAGGACCATGAGTACCGTGTGGCAGATTCCTCATGTTGCAGCAGGGGGATATGACTGTCAGCGAGTACGAGGCAGAGTTCACCCGCCTACTAAGGTATGGAGGTCATCTGGTGCCCACCGAGGCATCGAAGATCCAGAAGTTCATCGCTGGACTCTGACCCTACCTGCAGAGGAAGATCGAGATCCAGGAGTACCCGACGCTGAGTCGGTATATTTCCCAGTTGGAGAAGGTGAAGCGTGGAGAGCGAGAGGAGAAGGAGGAGAAGATCCGTGAGCGGAGTCTCGCTGGGAGATACTTCGGTACAGGTTCATCAGGGAAGAACGCCCAGAGCAAAGACCCACGTAACAAGGGCAAGGCGCCCGCTGTTCGTGCGCCACCACCACTAGCGTCAAAGGGACCAGTGGTCTGTTTTTGTTGCGACCAGCCTGGGTACATTGCCTCATGTTGTCCGACGAAAGTGACATGCGCAATATCGCGTGCGATGCGATGGCCAATGTCACACGAGTGACGGGCGTGGAGGCGTCCCTAGTCATGGACTTGACTAGGGTATATGGCTAGGCCCTATGGTGGACTCCATATGGCCGTGATTGTGCTTGTCTTATATGTGTTTGCTATGTTTTCGATTATTGCATGTGTTCTGTGGAAATGTCGATTGTACCGTTCTCATTGAGAACGAGATTCCCGGGTTTAATCCGGGCTACTCACTAAGCAGTTGTGCTTAGCCCTCGTGGTTTACATTTTTCAGATCACGAGGATTACGCCTAGCGCCTCAGCAGATGACGACCCGAGAGAAGCAGCATCATGTACGGGATTTGTAGTCTGAACCAAGGGATTTGTAGTTTCAACTTTCGTACGGTTGTATGATAACTATTCGGACGTGTGACATTTTGCGATACTAATCGCTCTGTATTTCCCGCTGCTACTCTGATTTGATCTAAAAATATTTTTGTTGGATTTCATAAATTTTGCTTCCACATTTTATCATTTTATTATTTTATTATCTTATTTTATATCGTACATGTGGCACAGTCCGTATACTGTACACGGGTTACGGGTGTCACAACTTTTGGTATCAGAGTCACGTTCTTTTCTTGGGAAGGAATCGTGCTCATTACCCAACGATTTTTCTACGAAAAATGTTTTCAAACCATGTTCGAAGAAAATCTTCACCTATCGGGGTCCGTAAATTGATGATGCAATATCGGTCGTCAGTTGTTAAAACTGTCTTAAATATGGTGCAGTGAAATGACGCCACGACGTGCTAGGCTTGCAGCGAGGGCTGACGACGTTCCCGAACAGACTCCACCGCCTAACCCAGGAGACGAAGGCTGGAGGGCTGAGTTTCGTCAATTCCAGGAGACCGTGTGACAACACCTGGCTGCTCATGCCCCACCCCCACCCTCGGCGAGAGACCCGGAGCCGAGGGAGAAGGGTCTACACCCGCCGCTGATACCTCCTGTGATGGCGGGATACCTCCCCATCATCAAGTAGCTACAGGCGATGCATATCCCGCGATTCGAGGGATCGGTGAGACCGAAAGCTGCAGAGGAGTGGCTCACCCAGATCTCTCAGGACTTGAAGTACCTGCAGTGCCCG